CAACCACTTGAGTTGTCGGTGCTGGTCTGCGAATCTTCTGGAACTGTCGGGGCAACAGAAACGAACCATAGGAAGCGCCAAATTCCGCCTTGACACGGTTTGGGAAGAGAACTTCACGGGGTGAAATAATACAGCTTGAGGGCATGCTCGTGGCTAAGCCGCTTGAGCGGGAAGTGTGGGAAATGGAAGCAGATGACATGCGGAAAAAGCTCAGCAGTGGCAGCAGCACTCACCGTCGTTGCAGGCAACCCAGCCTCGGGACCTGCAAAGGTGTGGCAGTCGTCGATCCACCAACGGCGGACGAAGTTTGGTATTGTGGCATGTCCACTTGGATGGTGCGCTCGCGTCCCATGGTGTTCGACTATGCAACAGCAGACCGCAATCTGGATAACCTAGGAGTTTGCTGGCAAGTCCTACAGAGATTGGACACCTAAAGCGAGATGCTCCTTCCCACTTGCCCTTGTTGCCCTCCGAAAACATCCGAGACTGATGCCCACCAGCAACATGGACAGCTTTAAGTGAAGCCAATGCAAGTCCGACGACCCGATTGCGCTTAGAATGCACTAGTGCTGGTGCATGTGTGTTCATGAAATATGTATAATTATGATATATATATATATATATACGCACACATATTGACCCACCCTTTTGAACAACCTCCATGATATTTTGAAGGAGGAGAGGAAGCGAACACCGTCGCTACCGACAAAAGCGACTGTTCGATATGTTCAGAAGAACAGCCAAATTGAAAAGCTCGTTTTTCAACAGAAGTAAAACAACAAGCAAACAACAAAAATCACAGAATACAACAACACCAAAACACGTAAGAAAACCAAACACATAGAACAACACTGAAACCAAGACCAGCACCAAAACAACAAAGCACAACTCAACCAACAAAACTTAAAGAAACAACAACACCAAACACCGAGAAACACAAAAATCCGGTCACTATCCGAACCACAGGGCTGGACTTTTTATTTTTGAGGTTTTCGATTTTTTAAGTTGGGTACGTCCGCTCGTTGTGCTGCTAGTTTCCCGTGCGGCGTTGCTCCCACACAGGGACTCTGCATGTGGTCTTTCTGTCTCGTGCGATTCACGAGAAAGTTGCAACCTATATTTGACTTGATATTGGCGGCAAGGTCCAATTCTGCACGTAAGTAGTTTTCACTAAGCTAGCTCATTCCGTACTGATACAGGCCTGTCTATCCATGTCATACATAGTAACTATGCAGCATGTATGTAAATCCGGCTTTCGTCGGATGTACTAATTTTCCAAGATAGGTAGGCAGGCATAGAGAGATATACATGTAGAGACACATGCGGACATTGAATATGGCTACCTGCGTTATTCCATACACAAGGCATGCCCGTATTACAGCGCTGATCCAATATATTAATACATGCATGATGTGTTTTTCATGTGTGAAGACATTAACAAATTCCAATAGATGTGGTCGTACAGAAAGTATATATTGCAAATGATAATTTATAGGCATGTTATCAAAACTTTCGCATGTTCTCTATTTAAAGGTTCGCAGTAATTCTTTAGCATTCATGTACGCCTGGCTTTAGTCGTATATTAATATGTACCAATCTATTCATGGATGTGTCCAGATGCACCTTGATTGTTCTTACAAGTTCTTCCACATATGTACAAATGTGCTGCCGGCATTCCCAAAGGTAGATAGGCAGGTATGTATAGAGATGTACACACAGAGATATATAAAGCTCGCACAGCTGCATAGATAACTAAGTACATCAAGGCATGGTTACATGTACTACGATGTTTTATGTATGCTCCTATGACAGGGATGTTTCTACATATCAGCTATGAGTTGTTCATGTGTGTATACACCCGATGGATTCCATTAGTGTTGGTCACACAGAAAGTATATATTACCAAAGGTTCTACAATCATATATATATATATATATTGTGAAAATTTCAGCATGTGCAGCATTCTCAATGTACACCAAAGGGCAGGTACATTGACACATATGTAAACATTTTAACACATCTTGTTTTACACTCAAAACATACACAAGCCACATAGCTTTGTCAGTATAGGGCGTTACTAGTTTGCATGCACAACTGCTAGTGGCTGCCTATACAGAGCCTTGTGGATTGTAGAGCGTACATGATGGGTTTTCATTGACTTGTGTCTAGACCAATAGCATGCATTGGTGTTTGCTGCTTTCGAAGTATATGGTACCACAACAGAAGATCGCATGCATGAACATAACCAACGGATTGGTCCTACCTTGCTCGCCGTTGTGCCACTGCTGTTGTGATTGTTGCTGCTGTTGCATTACAGGCATATGATGGACAAGACTGTCTTCGCCTTTGTTCCTACGGCAAAGCCCAACACATATCATATGCAGAAAACGATCGGAAGCCGGGGTTGGTCAATAGGGGGGCTAGCATCTATATATATATATACACATGCACACACACACACACACACGCACACACGTACATACATGCATGCATACATACATACAGACATGTACTCACATGCACACATATTTGCAAAGAATGAGACGGGAGCCCTCTCGACGCTAGCCTCTGCCCTGGCAGGGAGTCCTAAGAAGAAGGCACACATCTTTCATTGAGTACTGAGACTTGTTCTTCGAATCTGGGTTTGTTGATCTTCTGCGGCACTCATTCGAGGTCCGCTGTGCCGGAATGGAGGTACGGCTTCCGTCACCCCGATGCCGAGCCTGCGCGAGGCCTTGTTGCCAGACAACTTCTGACAGAAGCGAGAAAGGAGACTCCGGTTCGGTGTCGGAAAGGCTCCCTTCGATTGGTTCAGCCTCGTGGATGTTGCCGGGGCTGGGAAGCTAAGCCTGCTCGAGCCTCAGCATTTTCCGCAAGTTCGTTGCCATCCGCTCAGTAGGGTACGTCAGGCGCAGGTACTGCAGGAGTATAGCCTATCCTCAACTTAGACACAACTAGATTGCTGCAAGTCTGTGCCCTGTCACGGCTGCGCTCATTGGCATGCAGTGACTCCTCCAGAGGGATTTCAGAGCTGGTTTTATGATTCGGCTTGTTCGTGTCAGGTTCGAGCTGTCAGCCGGCCTGGCCACTGTGTTGCCACTCAGCTCAGAGCGCCGGGGACTCCCAGAGCCAGGTTCGAAGTTAGCTGTGACGGCGTGACTGCTACGAGCTGGAGGCCTGGAGTCCGAGCTTAAAGATCAGTTTCCCGCTCTTCCCTGGCCCATCAATTACGAGCAGTTCGCTCAGCAGGACAGTGCTATAGAAAAGGGCAGCCAGCAGCAAGAAGATGTCGCCTCACTTCAGTTGGATTGTCAGGGCTTTGTGATGCACTGCGTGCACATTGGACTAAACGATAGAGTGGGGCGGCATCAAGACGATGAAAAGAGCATCCACTTGTCTTTGATGCAGGTGCAAAGCACACCCGAATAAGAGCGTTCACAGACGCAGCAGTAGCAATGATAGCAACAGCAATGGCAATGGCAATGGCAATGGCAATGGCAACAACAAGAACAATAAGAGGGACACTAAGGATACCATGGATATTGTTGACAGCACTTCTAAAAAGATAATCCCCGCCAATGACTACCGGAGGGCAAAGCAGCACCACCAGCAACACCAACACCAAAGCCTACACCAAGACTAAGACCAACACCAACGTCAACACCAACGTCAACACCAACACCAGCACCAACAACACTACCACCGCCACCCACCACCACCGCCGCCGCCGCCGCCACCACCACCACCACCACCACCACCACCACCACCACCGACAACGACATCAGCCACTGCCACAACCAAAACCACAACCAAAACCAAAACTACAACCACAACCACAGCAGCAACATCAGCAGCAACAGCAGCAGCAAAAGCACTAGCAATACTAGTCGCAAACAATTACAGGAAAAATCGCACTGGCACTGGCACTGGTAACAGTAGCAGTGGCAATAGCAATAAGAGTAGCAGTAACAGAAATCGCAACTGCAATAGCAACAGCAACAGCAACAGCAAGAGGCATAGCAATACTAGGAATGGCAACAGCCAAAAGAACAATAACAACCACAATAGCAGTAACAATAACACGAAGACGAACACGAGCACGAACAATGACAATCACAATAACAGCAGCAACAACAAAAACGACAACGACAACGGCAAAGGCGACGGCGACGGCAACGGCAACGGCAACGGCACCAGCAAGAGCAACCGCAACCACAACCACATCCACAACCCACAACCACAACGATAATGACAATGGCAACGACGACTACAACGACGACAGCAGCAGCAACAACAGCAACAACAACAACAATCATCATACCTTTGACAGCACCAACAAAGACAGTAAGCGGTCATAAGTAATGACAGCATCAATAAATAAACGAATAAGTACACAAAGGTATTAATCATAGTAACAACAATCATAATCATTGTCAAACAGGCATCCACCTCCCTGAAAAGATCGAGGATGTTCTTTTTGTGTTGGCCAATCAGACCAGACTAGACCTCCAACTCCTTTCCTGCGAGGAGGGCCCCGCACATTGGGCCATGAGGCAGCTGCAGGCCTGGCCCTGCAGAGAGCCTTGGGCTTCCTTTGAGACTTCGAAGCTTCTGGCAACCTGTTGCGGAAACAGTTTCCACTTTGCCAGGCTCTCCACCGCCATGACGGCGGTGCTAGGCGGTGAGCTGCGCAATATGGGCTTTAGAAAGACCACTGGCGAATCTGGTTTCCCTTTCACGAATGAGAGGCCTGTGATAATAATGCCTTTGGAACACAAAGATCTACTCACTGCATGTGCTGTCCATCTAAAGCCCGAGCTCATTGCAGCCCTGACGCTTCTGCAGCTCGTCAGATGGCTGGCTTCATGCTTTCAATTGGATTTCGGACAGCAGTCACCGCTTTGAGAGTGCGACACTGCATCTTCGTTTCGCTGGTGCTAGCAGTCCAGCTTTGTATTTTCAAGCAGGCGTTGCCCTGAATCCTCGCATCTCGTTGACAGGGCCCCGAGGAGGAAGCCCTAGCACAGTCGGTTTGGGAGGCACGTGCTGCTGTCATGTTTTGATTATTGTGCAGCAGCGAGATTGCACGCGCACACACACACAAACACCTTCGATATCATATTTTTCCCTTGCTTCCTCTAGCTCCAGTCAAGCTTGCTGAAGGCCTAATCCGAGACCTGCTTCAATGCACCTGTGGAAAACGAAGAACCAGTAAAGAAGTGGACTTCATCACGGGGCGGGGGTATGGACGGTATGGACCAAAGGAGGGGGTGGCAGGGGTTGCGGGGAGGCGCGCTGAGTGGAGGCGTTCCAGCAGATTAGAAGCCGCTGGCTGACAGAATGTTTGCAAAGTGAGATTGCCTTGCCGGACCCGTTGGCCAAGCACACTGAATGCCGGTTTGTCGCGCTATTTATTCTCCGCTATGTCATCTGCATGTCTAGTGTGCAGCTCGAGCGATGCGAGGCGTTCCAGGAGCAGTACACCGGTGCTGCAGAACGTGGCATGTGCGCAGAGAGCAGTCATCCAATGACTACTAATCAATGCCATGCCAGTCGAATCAAGTTCAGCCACTTGGGATGGGTCGGGAAGTTGTCTCGTGAAGTACAAAGACATGCCACATCTATGGCCCTGCGACAGCGGGGAAGTCCGTTCAGATGGTAACTCGAGGTACATGGACACACCCGTGGGTGAGAACGACATCAAGTACAGATGGAGGCACTGGCAGGTGCCGTAGGTTTTGGGGGGCTCCTGTGTCTCGAGGGGGGTTTCGAGAGGCGACTCCGTGACACCTTCGGCATCACCAGTGAGGAGGCCATCGCGTGCAATCTCCAGTGATGCTACAAGATGCTCGGCGTAGAGCGATGCGCTCTTCCCTGACCCACGGTTGCCTTGTATTGCATTGTTGAGAGTGTCCACGCAAGTGCAGGGGGGAGGCTGTTGCCATCTCACGGGACTTGTCGCAGATTCTGAGAGCGGGTAAATTTGTTTCCTGCATGGAAACCAAACAGCCTGTCAGGTTAAGCTGTCCGATGCCGTGCAATATCTTTGGCGAGAGCAAATCAGCTGCAAGAACAAATCAAAGACAGTTCGCCTTGCAGGCGGTGGGTATTATGCAGACGGATGCGCTTCCTCTAGTCATTGATGCCGACTACGTGCAGGTCCGGCGGTCACACCGTCCACGGGGGTTGGGAACTGCAATCGCAAGCCAAGCAGAACTTTAACGCTGAATGCACGTGTCCGTGGTGCCTCTTGGACCGGCTTCCGATCATGATGCAGACATTGCATTGGGCTCATGGCAGCAACCGCCCACTTCACCAGGCGAAGAAGCAGAACCTAGCAACCCCCAGCAGATTATAGGTAGGAGAAGCTCAGCTGTAGCCGCCTTGAGCCGAGGCTGATGGATGCAGCACTGTAGTTCAAAGTCTCAGCTTCACGACTCTACAATGGCACTGCAGAGCGATAAGTTCTACAACACTACACGCAGCAGTGCGCTTCTTCACGGACAATCGGCAAGATGTGCTCATGCATTGCCTGACAAAGAGCGATGATTTCGCTTGATCGTGCTGTTGCAGCCTGCGCCTCAGGCAATCTACAGCGAAAGCAGTAGGGGTGTGCATGCATCACCACGTATCAGTATTACGAGAAACCTTGTGTGCTTGGATATGGTCTGCCAAAATGAAGCCGGCACCGAACAATCATCCCACGCAAATTTCAGGCTTCTGCAACCCAGGTGCTAATTGCAGCGGTGCTGCTGCAAGCCCTTCTACGCCTTCGCAGTACTGAGGCAGGCATGGAATCATGTCCCAGACGAGAAAGGGCAGCCTAATGAGAGCTACATTGCTCATCTGTCGAGTCAAGCGGCCAGCTTTGAGCCACGTCCCGCTTCGGAAGTGGCCTCCCACGACCAGTGCTCCAAACCACCTGTAAATCGCCTTGTCTAAAGCAGTGGCAGGTCATGGTTCTAGTGCACTGCTGCTAGCTTTGCTACATTACTTCCATTCGACATTCCTCAGCACCACAAGTTTCCATTGATTTGTTCTGGAGCTCTGGAGGTGTGGCGAAGCAATGTGACAGCTGAGCTTTCTATGGCACGCGACTCAACTTCGCAGAAGCAGAGGCAGACTGCGACCTCTTTGGTGTCTGGAGGCAGCTTCCCTGCTCGAGATGGGAGGGACATCAGGGACCCAGGCGGCTTCACAGCGTCAGAGCGCGTGTCCTTGACACATTTCGGCCTTCCTGCTCCGAGGCCTCGGCCTCGGAGCCTTTGCTGCCCTCCGCTCTGCGAACCTTAGCCGATCGCAAGGAGTTGGTCGAAGGCGCCTTCGGGATCCGACTTCGACTCGGCTTTCCTTAGTCGGCTTCCTTTCAGGACAGATCGCCGAATACGACGGGATGCCCTGGTTTCAGCGCGCCCTCTTCGACACCTCGGCTTTTCAGGAAGGGCCTGGCGCTTCCAGAGAAGTCCGACTGTGCTTTTCTTAATGTATACCGGACCTGACAGGCCCACGCGGACTGGCTGAAGCAGTGGAGACAGGACGGCCCTGCCCCCCCCCCCCCCCCCAACGCCCCCACGCCCACGCAGAGTCGCAGAGAGCTCGGCTCTGATTGCCTCTGCAGGAGTGGGCTGTGAAGATCCCGCAGCCGAAAGCGCAAGCGCCCAGCTCCGGGCCGCAGAGGTCGCCGATCCCCAAAGCAAGGGAGAACGCAGCGGAGGAGACGGAGGCGGAGGATGTGGAGGAGGCGGATGCAGCCGCAGGCACGAATCCAGCGGCTTCTGGTCACTTGCGCATGCGAGCCTGAAACGCGGAAGCTCTGACTCACATGTACTTGTCAGTCGCAGTCGCCAGAGTGTAAGTTTTCCTTCGAGAGCGGCATGCGCTCGCACAAAAAAATGATGTTTACCCCTTCAGGAACCCACTTATGCAGCTTCGAACTGTGAGGCTCACCCAACTTCAAGTTGCCGGCTGTTGCCGCAGCCAAGGCATTGCTATGCATTCTGGTATGACGTGGACAGTTCTTGGTTCAACGGTGCGCACTTGCAATGCACGGGGTGTTATGCAGCAGGCTACGACGAAGACACAGAGTCATAACAGCAACAGCATCATGGCATCGGTTGAACATTTCGAGTTTTGATGGCTTACTTTGAGTGATGGGTCCGGAACGCCCTGCAGTCATCATCGTCGTAGTCACCACCCTCACCGGCACCAGCACCAGCACCATCATCATCATCATCATCATCACCACCACCATTACCATCATCATCACCACCATCACCTTCATCATCATCATCATCATCATCACCATCATCATCATCATCATTCTCATCATCGCCATCATCAGAATCACCATCACCATCGTCGTCATCATCACCGTCATCGTCATCGTCATCGTCATCATCGCCATCATCGCCATCATCACCATCATCACCATCATCACCATGATCACATACATCTGTGGCTGCTGCTGCAACCACGGCTTCGGCTGCCTGCCTGCCTGCCTCCCGCCCGCCGCCCACCCCCCTGCCCGCCCGCCCCCCTGCCTGCCTGCTGGTGCTGTTGCCGACAGCTACCGCTTTTGCCCTGAACTTCCACCTACAGTTGACACGACTCCTGCTACGACGTCTGTTGGTGGTGGTAGAGGTGGTGGTCGTCCGTCGTCGGCGTCGTCGTCGTAGTATCAGCAGCAGCTGTGGCGCAGTGGTCGTAGCAGTCGTAGTAGCAGTAGCATTACTAGCACTAGGAGTGGGAGCCGTAGTAGTAGCAGTGTGAAGAAATGAAGAGAGTAGCAGCCGCAGCAACAACAGTTGCGGCAGCAGCACGGATGGCTTTGGCCTTCTGTGACCGCTGTTGATGAGGCTCTTGAGCGTTATGTGGTCTATTCCGAATTCCGAATGAGTCCTTAGTGACCGAAAGCGTCGGAACCTCGATACACAAACCTTGCCTCTAGCTCTGCTGTTGGCGCATCGCGAACTTGGCAGGCTGCCCTCGAAAAGTTTGGGACTGATTGGAAAGCTGCCCGATGCTTTGCGCTGCTGATCGCAGTTTTAGGTTTTGGACCTCTCGGAAGGATTTGTCTTGGGGAATCTCCCAAGGCTGGAATGGACTCAGTGGTTGAGGAGGTTGTGAATCTAATGCGCTTGCCTCAGGCGGTTATGCTACATTCTTGCATGGGGTTAGCAGCAGCACTGTCATGTTCTGCAAGCGGCCGCAGCTCTGCCCTTTGATGCTGCAGCATGTGCGAAGTTTGGCAGGCAGTCAGATCCACAAAATGCGATTGGCTCGGATAGCTCACGTGGACGCTTGCGTTTCTTGGGCATAGGTGAAGATGACAGTCCTACAATAGATAACCTTCTCTGCCGGGTGGTCGTCGCGGCAGCGATCGTGGAGTAGCCAGACGGAGAGCTCTTTCCCAGGCCTTCGTGCAAGAGCGCGGCTGCGAGTCGTTGCACCCCACTCAGATTGGATTGATGCGAGCCACACTCTGCTATTGCAGTGTCAGCCAGTGTGACCGAGCACTGGGTGTCTGCAGGCGATACCTCTGCACCGATGATGAGAGTCGGCAAGCTGTGGCAGCAAAGGAGCGGTGTGAGATGGTGCGAGTGGCACATGGCATGCGTGATGGATGATCATGAATCATGACTTCGCATCGGCGCCGCTTCGAGACGGCACGGGCTGAGGATGCAGTGAGACTGCAGGCCGTTCTGCGCCAAGATATCGGGCAAGAAAGGCAAAAACAGCCACGAAAGAGCCCGTGCAGCCAATCTACTCTTGGCCACACCGGTCATGAAGGAGCTTTGCCAATTCCGTGGGACAAGCGCCACCAATCGCGAAAACCCCGGGCCACTGCCCAACTTCTTGAGACGGCACGGCTCTTGAAAACCAGCTCGGGGTAACGATGCTGCAGGGTAGCAAGAGCGTCCCAGAAGTGTGCAGGATGCCATTCCGACAATTCTGAGGCGCGTGGGGTTTGGCTGCGATGGGGATCGTGAGGCGCTGGGTTAAATGAGACCAGAACAGCCTGCAGGTCGATGGAGCTGAACGAGAACGAGTCCGAAGTATTGGGCTTAATGGGCTATGTCCCTTCCGAGTTGTCAACTTGCCACTGCCCGATATGCAAGGTCCAGGGATACTGCTGTGGGACACTGGCTGAGTGCTGAGATACTGCCAAGTTTCTGCTTTGGTGGCGGGGGGGTCGGCCAAAAAGCCAGGTTCATCTGGCAGCCACAGCATCGACTCGTCGGAGCATCGTGCAAGAGAAGGGCCTGGAGGAGCCCCGTGAAAATGTGAACTGCTTGCGGTGCTGTGTGTGGCCTAACACGGTGGGACCTACCAAGCCCCAAAATTGCCCTATATGTCTTAGGTTCCTCTTTCCTAGACCGTATCTTTGTTAGGCGATTCTACGAGCCATGCAGATGCATCCCAGCCCTTTGGCAAGCATTTGTGCGCAATCCGTGTCAACAACTGTCATGACCGCAAGAGAGGTTTCAGCACAGTCGAATATCTCCGCATTGACTGAGACTGGGGTTGTCCCGGTTGCCGTGCTGCTCTGAAAGGTCAAGCAATCTCAAAAGCCTTAAAGGCCGGGTTGCGTTTTCGCATCGGAAACTTGTGAAGCTGAGGCAATGCATTCGTTCAGTTCAAAGCCTGTGCGGCTTTAGAGACATGGCTGAGAAATTGCTCAGGGATGGCTTTCGAAGCCTCTACGCCACCGACCTTCTGACATAAAACGGATGCAGACTACATAGATGGGTTTTCCAGGAGCGGCAAGCAATGACCCTCACTTTTGAGATAGTTTGATAGGCGTTTGTGGTGTACGTGTTCACCAAGCTTGTGCCGACACATGTTGACTAAGGCAAACCTTGCAGCCACGAGCCAGGAACAGCCGCTTGGCTAAGAGCGACGGAGGTGGCATTCAGTCGTGCCTTCCTGCGTATTTGTGTTCAGTGTGGGCAGCCGGGGCCGATTCCACGCCTAACTGCAAAAAGAAACGGTGCAAGTGCCGCAAGCCGACCCCGTGTAAATGGCCATTCTGCCAAGTAGATGTGCAAGGTCCTTGCTGGCTTCGCTGGGTGGAGGAGAGATGATTCTGAAAACGATGCGCTTGCACGTGCACCTTGGCTGAACCTTGGACATGGACGGCTTTAGCACCAGACAGAGCACAGATGCGCCGATGCATTTAGCTCGTCTCGAAGGCACGATCTCTCAGTGCTTGAGTATTGCCTGGGTGCTCTGCACAACCTGGCCACGTACCATGGAAACCAGGACGGCAACGACAGGACTTTGCTGTCGATTGTGAGACTTCAGCTTGCAGGCCGCGCTGCGCACGGCTGGCGCGGTTCGTGTGCTGAGAGACGCCGGGATCACGCCATCCAGGGTCGCTCCGCGTTTGTACCCGTGAAGCCTGAGGCCGTGCGGCTTCACCCACAGAACCATCAGGTCCAGCAGGCCAGAGTCGAAATTCTGCGAGTTTTGTGGCTCTGCGTGGTGTTCCAAGTCCGCAGGTCGGTAAGAAGACCATCCGGCTCCTGAAAGGACGCAATGCGCCGGATGCTTCAACATAGCCCCCCAGTAGTGAAAACGAGGTGCTGAACTGAACGACTAGACTAGTGACTAGCAATCCTCTATTTCCTATAGCATGCTTGGAACCCCCAGGTTCTGGCCGGAGCATCGGGCTACTGTAAGGCTGTAACTGTTTAAGTTCCGCAGCGCTCAAGTGCGTGGAGTGGTCTGCTCCGACTTTCGGCAACTGGATGGGGTCGACCTTGAGCGGCGCAGACTTCTCCATGGCCAAAGCCGTGGGATACTGTAGGTCCTGTAGGTAGGCTTAGATGTCTGAAGGAATGCTTCGGAAGCATCGCAAGCGAAGCATATAAGCCACCAGCAGCCGATGCTGCTACAACATCAGGCAAGATGCGATGCTCCTTTCAGCACTCCGTTGTGGGCCAGAGCAATTGCTTGGCACAAGTGGTTTGAGTTTGAAGCAGTTTCTGCTCTGGATTTATGGGCTGACTTGCTGTGATGGCTGGGGAATAGCCTGCTTGCCCAAGTCTGTGACCATAGCGAGCGTTTGTTGCGACAGTTGCTTCGCCTCGCAGAAAACCTTCAAAGCGATGGTGGACGGCGCCGACCGAGACAAGGACATCCGCCATTCTCCGGTGCTTTGCAAAAGGCGATCAAGAGCCGCTCGCGGCTGAGCCGGCAGGCCCTGGAGATCGTCACTCGGCACCCGGGCATTTTGGCTGCGGGGCCGGACGTGAAGGACAACATGCTCCAGGCCAGAAAATAGCAAAGGAGAAATCTTTGACTGTGCCGTCCCGTCACCGACCCGTCACATGGAAGGCAGACCTGGCCTCGAACGCCATCAATGCCGCAAGGCAAGCCGGTCCAATGCGTTCTCCATGCCACGTACATCTCGTTGTCGTTGTTGCAGCATTTTGGCATGTTGTATGTTCTCATTGCATTTTCTCCGGAGTTCTGGCCGTTTGTGTGCCAGTGCGATCTTGCCAGAGCTTGTCTGCAAGGAGCTTGGGCAATTTGTTCAGATAGTGCCAGTGAGAGCCGGCTTCGTACCTTGTGATCACCTGAGCCTCTTTGAGCCTCTTGCGATTATTCAAGTTGGTCGCGAAGAGCCGGTTCCAGCGTTCCAGCTCATCCATTACACGGGACCCTCCTCCTTTGCTTTTGCTCTCCTGAAGAGCGGGAGTTTGAGTGTCGCCTGGCTAAAAGCTCAGCCGCCACGCAAGCGAATCAGAGGACGATTTTTGATCGGCTGAATGGCTCTCGAGCAAGCTGACGTGCTCATGCTTTCAGTGCTCCTTGAGTATTGGTGCTGTCGAAAGGAGTGCACAGGAAGCCTCTCACAACAAAAATCGAAACAATCGACACGGTGCTCAAGCTGAGAAAGGGATATCCATGAGGAACTTATCAGCCCCAATCCAGCTGCCGATAGCTGCCGGATAGATCGGAATGATGATTGAACGGTGGCAGCGAGCCAACGTCTAGAATCCAGAACCAGCATCTGCCGCAAACCCTCTAGTAGATTCTAGAACCACTGCATCACGTAGATCAATCACTTGGGGCTCCGGTGCTGCAGTTGTCAACTTCTCCCGCAGCCCGCGAACCCCTTTACGCACCATCCCAACTTCACGCAGAAGCTGTTGTGAAATCCCCGACAACCTGGGAGCTAGAACGTCTTTGTTCTGGGGCTGCATTAAGTGAGCCCATGTGTGCTGGCGACTGGAGCCATGACGTGCGGTACCCAGACATATTTACTTCCTGACCAGGCATTGCCAAGAAGTCGTTATTCCGGCATACTGTAGCTGCCAGATTTCCAGCCTCTAATCAGGCGCTGGTGTTGCCCCACAGTAGCGGGCACTGTGAAGTCGGCATAGGAAATGCAGTAGAACCAGAAGTTCTGGCGCCAGCAGCTTCCAGGCCACGCCCCGGAAAGGTGGAGGCACTGCTGGTGGATGTGCATTGCTTCCGGAGACCTTTGATTCGACGAGTGTAAGTGACGGCAGGTGCCCATCGCCGGGGAGGTGATCAGCAGACGGCCGAAGGGAGCCGCATCCCGGGCCCACTACAAGGCGCCGGTGTTTTTCAAAGCGAGAGCTCCAATTCTAGCCTTCTTGCCGCCACCGCTCGACCACAGGGGCTTCTCTCCCAGGGTAGGACGATGGCTCAAAGACTGTGAAGAGTGAAGGGGCTACGGTGGGCACACGCACGATGCCTATCCTTTGTTGTGATCGAGTAGCCGAACCAGACGAGGATGCTCGCAGCTTCCTCGCATCTTCCAAGCGTCCTGTTCACCGCAGAGAGACTCTGGATGTTTCTGTGAAGGCAACTCACAAAGATGAGGGAGAGGTCGGGCGAGATATCCATCTTGACCGAATGCTTCGTGCTCTGGATGTTTTTGCGACTCGCATTGGTGGGTTGGTGGTTCTTCACGTGGCTGCTGTATCCCGAGAGAGAGACACGAAAGACACGACCAGCCATGCACTTCCATGCATAGGATGTTAGCCGGGATCTGCAGAAGATCGTGCGGCTGGATGGCTGCAGCCTCAGCTCTGGCAACAGCACACGCAGCACATGGAGCACAGCACAGGCCTAGGAAGCGGAGCCTGTACTCGTTGCCAAAGCGATATCGGCAGAGCCATGTCAGTGAACTGTCCGCTTATATCGGTTGCCCCCCGAACCTGGCATTGCCCCAGCAAGATGCGCTTGCACTGTCCAACCTTACATAGATCCAGCATCCTCGTCAATGCACTGAGCCAGGAACGGAAGGGTCGTAATGGAAAGCAAAAGCACAGTCTCAGCCAAGGCCCTGCAAAGATCAATTGGCTTTGCAAGGCGCGGCTGCCTGGAAGACTCAACGGATTATGAGTTATGAAGTTCACGTGCCTGGACCCCTGTTTCAGGCACTTCCGCTGCTTAGACGACGGTCAATGACAGCGGCTCAATTCCTCGACATTGTCTGCAATCAGAGGCACCCTCGCGCACCTTTCGCCGTAGATCGGCGCTTTGCAACAGGTTTGCAAGGAGTCTCGTTTGTAGGTTCGCTGCGAACATAGACGACGTCATGCCGTGGGGCACGCAGATGGTCGGGCTCCGAGGTTTTTGGGGAGGCAAACTGGGAGGGTGGCAAGCTTCCGAACAGCGACGCCCACTGGCTCAGATGGCGGCATAGCAGTCAACCGTCAGAAGTGCCCTTGTCTATTGTAAGTGCTCCTCCTACTCCTCCTCCTCCCCCTTCTTGTCGCCCCCAGCGGGTTAGAAGCTTGTGCTTTTGCAAGGGGTCTGCGGCCGTCAAGAAACGCTTAGCTTTTGAGATTTCTTGAAGTGTGCGCAAGTTTCATGCGGGAACAGCCCAGAGACTTCTTAACGAGAGAGTCCCGAAGCTGGGGAAACTCATCACGTTCTCGACGATACGGCAAGCGACAATCACAGACCACACATCCGATATTGCCGCAGCTTGAAGTCGGCTGGTATGCAGAGGACTCCTGGCCATGAAACCTGAGCCCGTGCCTGCACCGAGATCAGCATGCTGCGGCGCGAACTGGACGACCTCCAGCCGCAGCAGGCTCGCACCTGGAAGCTCAACCTTGGTCGAATGTGGGAATCCTTGTATAGATCGGTCATTGCAGAAGCTCGCTCCTGGAAGCTGTTTCTTCCTGTTCAGTTTCTGAAAAGCACGTTTAACAAATTTTGCGACGCAGTCATCCGTCCATCCGTCTGGAAATCGGAACAAAGTTAGTCAGCCGCGATCACTGCCAGGTGCATCACCTTCAGCAGAGTGACCTGTGGCGGCGGTTCGCCGACTCTGATGACGAGGTCCGGAGTGCTGCATCTGATCTGTGCTTCTAGGCCGTTGTAGCCTGGATTCTGGGGTGGTCCGTGTGCGCTGGAGAAGTCGCTGCTCCAGACTCGCATCTCGTGACGTTTGGTCGCTCCCTCGCCACGGTGAAAGTTGCTGTGCCGCCGTGCTGAGCTGCTCAGGACTCTGCTTGTTGAGCTGTGCACTTGCCTCCATTCTGACGACACCAGCTGCCGTCTGCGATCTTGGCCTTTGAACGTATTGGCTGTGACCGGTGGCGAGAATGCCAGGTGGTCTGCCGAGTCTGCTGAAGACTGCGTCCCTTGCCGTATCGAGTCTGTGTCCCCCATGTCCGATCGGTTTCTCATACTCAAACTCAGTGGCAGAGACACGTTTCGGCCAGAAAGCAAGCGAAACGCCACCATCTGCTGGGCTGGCTGCAAGTAGACGTTACCGCATCCTCTCCCCAACTTCCCTGCCATTGATCAACTCGACGGGCTAATGGGCTGCAAAACTGGTACTTGTAGAGTTTCAGATTGCTCTGCCTTCTGCCAGCGCGCCGTGGTGGCTGCCACAACATCTTCAGCGCACTTCAGCTGCGCTTCAGTGATTGCGTGGTGGCGGCATGCCTTTGATTGAATCAAATTGAATCGGGCTTCTTCAGCATATAGCAGCATCCAGGCCGGCAAGACATCACAAAGAGAGTAAGGCCCGGACGCGCAGCCGCCTTCCGCGCTGCAGTGGCAGCTGACAAGGACAAGGCCACTGAGAGACCGGCAAGACGACTTCTGAATGCTTCTTAGTCTGCCGCCTCCTGTCGGTCTGCCAGTCTGTCACATGTGAATTGATGGTTCCAAAGCTGATAATTAGAAGTAGCAGCGTTCAAGAGCGAAGTCGTTGCGGTTGACATGCATGTTCGTGGTGTCTTCGCAGCGCTCTCTCTTGCATGCCCACAATTGGGCGTGAGCAAGTAGACACACGACACATTTTGCAGATTGCAGAGAGTACACACGTGTTACTACATTGCTACATGTTACCAGATTGTTCTGAGAGGCAAAGGCGAGTGGTCAAACCTCCAACTAGGCTTGCAACATTTCCCAGCTACCTGCGCGTGACTATGGGATGTGGAGCAAGCGCTCCCGTAGCCAGCGTCGGACGTCCCGTGTACTTCAGCGGGCAGCGCTATGATGAGAAGCGTCCACAGGTGGGTCGGCAAATTAAATGTTTCGCATTCAGCCAAGTTCAAGACCCTGGGCGAGGCTCGGCGGAACCCGGAGTCCTACAGAACCCGTATCGTCACCATGCTTACGGACGAGGGCGACTTCGAAGTGCAGGTGTCCTCGAAGTCCGAGCCAGAGCCAGAGCCCCTGGAGAAAAAGAAGGTTACCTTCGCATTCGTGTCAGAGGCAGACGACGAGGTGGAGTTTATGCAGGATCCTGGTACTTGATTCAGTTGCGTTTGTTGACATGGCATGGCAGTCGAGATAGCAGTTTTTCCTGGACATGAGTCAGACAAGGAGCTGCCGAAGAAGAGAGTGACCTTCTCTGTGTTGGTGGACACTCACTTCTTCAGGGACTGTCGGCATAATAACACGACCATGTTTCGCTTTGTCCTCCCTTAGCCGCAACGTCCCTCTCGTCGACAACGGACCACCGGCCCGCGCTGGTGTTAATATGAGCAATAGCCAATAGTCCAGCCAGAACGCCAGCAACTACATGGTCATTTAGTTTGTGGCATTACAGCATCGCCTCTTCTGATAGATTCCCTGCAAGCGAAGGTAAGAAGGTGTCGTGGGAAAGAGGACAACTGAATCTGAACGGAACTACACTTTACACTTTAGGCTCCCGGATGTTGGTCCATTCGGTTTCTGCACAGGACGAGGATGCTCCGGCGAGGCCTGTGCAGGTTTCGGTCGCGTGGGGCGTGCCTCGCCTTCGATTATGCAGCTTTCGTTTGAGCTCTTTACCAGCTGGCGCGGTCATGTGGAGCTTTGTGTGCCCAGCTGCGACATCCATGTGTGAAGTGTTTGTTATTCCTGGAAGCGGATGTTTTCTTCAGGATTCTCCTTTGCCACCGCGAAAGGCTTTGTGGCTGCAAGATGTGATTCCAGCCAGTTGCTGCATCCGACGACTGGCAGGCGCACGCTCTCTGGCCGTGTCTCTCTCTCCCTCTCTGTGTCGCGCTGTCTCTCTCGCCCACGCTTGGCCGGTCAGCTCTGAAGTCAAGCACGACTGCTAGCAGTCGTGCCGCGGGTGCAGTCGTCAGCTCGGCCAGCTATGCCGCATTAATTGCAGTAGAACGTGAGTCACCGCCTAGCTGTATGGTGCGGGGCACTGCAGCCACTCAAGCACAGAGCCTGCAGCCCGTCGGCCTCAACCACGCATTGCCAGATTTCGCCGGTTGTTTGTCTGTCGTGTACTCGCCTGGTCGGAAGGCTCCTTCAGCTGCAACTGTTTCGAGCATCGCCCAGGTTCTGCCACGAGTCCCGAATCAGCCAGAGACGGAAGAGATGCAGGATATGCATCCTTTCTCCCAAGGCTTGCGCGAGCTTCCTGTGCTGTGCACAGAATGCACGGATGCTTGAAGAACGGCCAAATCAGGCTTTGAACACGCTGAGACGAGAATGGTAGGAAATGGAAGAGTCGTGCATACATCATGACTGGAGAGTCTGTTGGAGTCGAGCTTCCTAACCTGCCGTCCTCGCCACGTAGCTAGATTCTACCAAGTTCTCTGTGGATGATCAGCATTTTTTGTGGTGTGGCTGGAAGCGCTCGGGGAACGCCGAATAGCGCCGTGCCTCGTTTCACAGCACACGCAGCCCAACCCAGATTTTGAAGGCTCCTTGGCCAGGCCACTTGAAGACCATCAGAGTTCCCATGAGTCCCAGTTACTGTTTAGGTTGTACTGCGATGTGTTGCTGGTTATGTCAAGCCGGCGTTGAGCATCAGCTCTTGTTGTCCGAGCTTGACATTCATCCGCAAGGGCTTGCTGTAGTACTGTAAAGTATTCCGAATGTTTCTGCAGGTGGATTCCCATGTCTTGCCACCTGATACCACGCGGCAGATTGTTGCCTTTATCACCTTTATGTTCTAATTTCCTCGCTTGTGCTCCATGGTCCTGAAGCAAGCACGACGGTGTTAGCAGCAAAGTTTCCATCCTGCGGTAATGGTTATGCTTGGAGGTTCCGATTCCGAACCGCTGTGTCGGACCTTAGGAGCTCTGGAATCCGTGCTCTCCGGTGAAAGACTGGCTGGAGCCGGCTCGCCTATCGTATGGCTCTGGGATGTTCTGGGCCTAGGTACCAATCGCAGCTTTATCCAGGTGTCGCGAGTTGGCACAGCCGGCTTCTAAGCAGGTGGTGCAGGGTGTTGAGCTAGCAGCTAGCACTGCTTCTTTTGCACAGTCTCTCTGTCTGGTAATGTTAAACTGTTTAACGCCCTCTTCCAGTGGTCCTACATACACTGGTCCGAGAGCATGAAGATATATCCCATTTGGAAGAGGAGTCTGCACAATTCTCCGAGTTCTCCGAAGGCGCCACAGCTCCTGCACGTATCGCGGTGGTCGGCGACCGACGGGCACTTCAGACGTTGCAAAAGCATGTACCTTTTAGTTTTGTTGCTCATATGGCGATGCCTGTGCACGCCCGGCCCCGGATGTCAAAGTGAAGCTACAGCTCGTGTGTGACTCAAGCGAGTCACGGGCATCGGTGCGATATGAGCTCAGATCACAGCGCTTTTCTCTCGGTTGGTTTCCGAGCAACCGGAACTGCGGTTGATTCCCAAGGCAGGCCGATCCTAGGTCATCGACTAGCTAGGACGATTATGACTGACTTTTGTTTTGGAAAGAAGACATGCTTGGTAAGCACAGATCGGACCCTCTGGAAGTGGAAGTCTTGCCCTGGGAGGCGGGGGATTCCCAGGTTGCTGCAACGCCCACTTAATTGTGGAAGATGCTGCCAGGGATGTTCTGGAATTAGTATGATGCCGCCTGCAGAGAGTGGAACTGGTGGAACCAGCACACTCAGCATATGCTCCTCTGCGGCAGAAGAAATTTTATCTAACGAAATCATTACGACAGGGTGGAGGAGGAGCGGGGAGCTCTTTCGGGAAGTCTGCTCGGATGTTGGTACGCGGGAATCTGTCTATGTGCAACACGGCCTTTCGACGAGATCAATTCCTGCAAAGAGCCCCACTTTGCGAGCATGCAAAGTCTCTAGGCCGTGACTCTAGGCCTAAGTATACATCAGCATCAATATTGCATCGCACATGGTAGGCCATAGTAGTAAGAAGAGGGCGCAGCCGTAGATGACGGTGAATCCGACGACGGCCATCGTTGTGATCCTGATGATGGTGATGATGAGGGTGATGATGATGATGAAGATGGTAAGCTTCGCTTGTCACAGGCCAGGGCCGGGGCAGTAGAATCGTATCAGGGGACCATCGGGAAAGTGATGTTACAGTGCAGAAATAAGTGGCCCTGGAAGCCAGGACGGCTGGAGAACTATACATGAAATTAACATATGTACTATTGGCTCTCAAGCCTCGATTTCTCGGGGCACTCACCTCTCGGGCTGTCGGCACTCTGCCACGCCTGCTCACCTCCTCAGGCCGTTGGCACTCTGCCACGCCTGCTCACCTCCTCAGGCCGTTGGCACTCAGCCACGCCTGCTGACCTCCTCAGGCCGTTGGCACTCTGCCACGCCTGCTCACCTCCTCAGGCCGTTGGCACTCTGCCACGCATGCTCACCTCCTCAGGCCGTTGGCACTCAGCCACGCCTGCTGACCTCCTCAGGCCGTTGGCACTTTGCCACGCCTGCTGCCCTTGGCACTCTGCCACACCTGCTCACCTCCTCAGGCCGTTGGCACTCTGCCACGCCCGCTGACCTCGTCTGCCACGCCTGCTGACCTCCTCCGGCCGTTGGCACTTTGCCACGCCTGTTGACCTCCTCAGGCCGTTCACGCCTGCTGCCCTTGGCACTCTGCCAAGCCTGCTCACCTCCTCAGGCCGTTGGCACTCTGCCACGCCTGCTGACCTCCTCTGCCACGCCTGCTCA